CACCCCATAGAGATATGCTTTGATTCAATGAAAAGTGAGTGGGTGAGAGCCTAAATAGTCATTTTAACACTATAGTGTATAGAATATATGTCTTCCTTTAATTAGTGCAGCAAGCAGCAGATAAGAGTCAATGTAAATATAACGTTATGAATTGTGTAAATGGAAAGAAACTCGCGATGCATGCTATAAATATGGTTGCCTTAAGGAAATCATTAAGCAAGAAAATTAATTAGACGGATTACTCAACAATGTGCAATGTCACCTGGTTACAAGGGACAAAAATTTATTGTCACCTATAAAAATGGATACTGACTCACAACATGAAAAATAATATTTTGTCTCTATAAATCAGTGTTAATTCCTCATTCCATCGTTAATGCGAAGTGCAATTTTAGTTTAGTTTTAGTTTACAATATGATAATAAGCATATAACTGGCTTCAAACAGTTGTGATGTTGCAGCAGCCAGATTAATACCCAAACATTTCATATGAGTTTAACACCGAAAAAGAGAAAAATCATGAATTTGAGTGTCTAAAGATAAATACAAATTGTACTCCTAGCACAATAGTGCCATCTGGCCCCCCTCCCTTGTGCTCCCCCTCTTCTTACCCAATTCCAATCTGATGTCCTTAGGTGCTGGGTCGATGTTCCGCCTCCAGCGACATCATCTGACGGGGGACCTAATGCGCATGCATGGCGAGTGCTGTAGGAAAGCATTGCCTATGGAGTTTGCACTGAGTCCCTTAGAACCCGGGAAATGCCTGTGGAGGCACTAGTCTTTTGCAAAGTTTTGCAAAGTAATCATTGCAGTTTCTCAAAATCTTCAATGATTTACATTGCAGGACTAAGTGGAATAGGTACACTGTACCCAGACTACTTAATGAGATGAAGTGTTTTGGTGTCCTATAGTTTCCCTTTAATATATTTCAGACAGATATTTCTTTGTCCTTATCACAGATTCATGGATTAGCCAAGAGAATATGGGGAAAATAAATCCATTTTAATTTTTTTCCTATTTATTGTGTGTTTTTGGAGTCTTGACTCTTTATTACGTTGTTGCTATTGATTAAACATACTGTAATTATTTTAGAATGCTTTTCATTCAATGTAATATTGTAATTATTTTAGAATGCTTTTCATTCACTTTTTTCACACATTTTGTCAAAACTAAATAAATGTGGGGGGAAAAATCAGCCACATTTCCAGTAATCTCACGTAAACCTTCCTACTAGCCAATCCTAGTCTTAATAGTCTTTGGATGCAAGTTCGTAACTGAATTCCTGAATTTGCTGAGTAATTCACAACGCAGGAGTCACAATACTAATCAAGAGAGAGACCATAAATGGAATATGGACCTATGACATCTAGAGTCTCAAAGCTCCTATCAACATCAATAAAGTGTGATCACACATCACAACCTAAGACACAACACTCATCCTTAACTAACACAAAACATTCCAAGGATCCATTCAAGTACTGAAATTAGCAAACATGAAACAGACAAAACAAAATCTAACAGTAATGCACTCCGTCAAAAAGGAACAATACAACAAGTAACTCAATTAATTTCAAGTGAAATCACAATTGCATGTAAAATGTATGTTGTTTAGTCCGATTCCACGGGAAAAGGCACCTTGTCATAATCAAGAACTGTATTTAAATATAGAGTAGTTTTACAACAGAAAGATATAGCAAATTGTTTCTTGGAGAATGTTTATCACATGTTTCGATGTATTCCTATTTAATTGCGTAACAGTTTAATGATAGTTTATAAGACATTTTGTAATTTTTTTTTTTCGACAGCTTTAAAGTGAATCACCTTTTTACCATTCTCTTGGTCATTAAGATTAACAGCTAACCAAAAAAATTAGCTGTCCAAATTATACACAACATGGTACCAATTATGGACAACATACAACACACAGTCCTCAATAAAAACATCCCAGCAAGACACACTGTACTAATATATAAATAGTACCAGGTTTAATGCTGTTCTCATGCAAACTATCATATTATTGACATTTACCAGAAAGGACTAAATCATTCATGACCTGCACTTTAAAGGGGATCTGTCAGTTCCCCTGAATTCACAGAATTAAGTAAAACATTCAAATTGCCTATAACTTGTATTAACTTGTGTTTTTGTTTCATGAGATGCTGTGTTTTCTTTTAAATTTATATGAAAGGTTTAGTAAATTAAATCTTAATCCAGTTTCAACAACGCAAAGTCAGAGGAGAAATCTAAACATTGTTTAGTTTCTCCAGACAGTCACCTAAAGTGGACACCTAGGGTTCTAGGGCTAGACAAAGGCCCAGGAGACATGACGATACTTGGTCAAGCTTGCACTGATTTCTGTGAATACCCCGTCATACCAAGCAGGTCATACTGATGGACATTGAACGGATTTTTGATGTCATACATCACTACTCCAGCAGATATACATACAGACTGATAGATATACAGAAAAACATACACACAGAGAGATACACATACTGTAGAATCTAGGTTTCCTCCGTGTCTTTCTCCAGTTGATTGATATTTACGTCTTTTGCATATATAGTCTTGGGTCAAAGACTCGCACGGTTAATATACGTCTATGTTAATGAAAAGTACTAATACGCAATCTGACTTATGGTTTCTTACGGTTTATTCTTAGTTACTGATACATAATACAACAACAAAGGATGTCACATGATCATGAATGTTCAACAGCAGATGGTAACTGAACTTAGAGTTAGTCTCTACATAGATAGACAGATAGACAAGAACAACCTTGTGCAACAAGCAGCAAGCAACAGCCAGACCAAGACCTTGTGGTCCTTTGTTCACTAATCTATGTAGATATGACCATAATGACATCAAAGTATAACCCTAGCCATATAAGGACAAGATCAGCAATCCACATTCCAGATTTCTCAGACAAAGAAAGCCTTGTGACTTATTGATACCATCTTTTACTTGTGTCAATTCAGACAGACATACATAATCAATAGAAACATAGAATATGCAATATTCTACAAATACAGACAAACAGATTAACATACAGACACACACGATGATATACAGACATTCATGCAGATATACAGACACACATGCTGATATACAGACATACATTCAGATACACATACAGAAACACATGCAGATAAGAAGATACATATACAAATACACACACTGGCACACAGAAACAAAAATACACACAAAAAAAAACACACATGAAAAATGTAATTTTTTTAGCCACCCTCATGTTTCCTACCTTTGGGTCCAGTAGTGTGGCTTCCCTGGCGTCCAGCTGGCTGGCTGAGGCTCTTCCACTCCATGCTACTCCTCTCTCCCCCTCTCGCGTGGCTCATTGTTAGCTGGGAGGCTGTAGCTGGCTGCCACTTCCTCCCTACGCTGCCATCATTTAAGTATTTCTGGATGGCCATAAGTGCATGGGCCACAGTATGGGCCCCCTAAGCTGTACAAGCGGTGGCTATTTGTAATCATACTTTTTATACCATCAGTTAGAGCTCTGATGGGCTAAAAGCAGTCAACTGACACCTCAGACACTTAGAAGCAATGGGCACAGCTGCCCATTGCTGCTAAGGCTAATAATTCCTCATTAGCCAAAGCAGCACAGAGGGGATGGGTTGCTGGTGGCGCTTGTTTAGAATTAAAACATAAAAACTGTTTACTGCCGTTACAGCTCCCGGCCCCTGTGCCGGCGTGGCTACACACAAACTAAGCAGCCACGCCGACAGAGATGTTTCAGACTTACATTGGCCCCGGCGGGCAACTGCCGGTCTTCCTCTACTCCGGTCCCCAGCGGGTGGGATGTTTTTAGGAACGTCGGCCGCTGCAGTTTGGGCTTTTATAAGAAACTTACCTTCGCCCACATCAAAGATGGTGCCAATGTGTGTGCGACGTCACGTCATAGAGGTCAGAGACAGCCAATTACAGCCTTAGGAGGGTTATTTAAATTTATTTAAATTACCCTTTGGTCAGTGCCCTCTTGTGGTTTCAACTAGTTTGTTATCCGAGAGTGTGTTTTTTTTGGTATTCGACTTTGGCTTCATTTTGACTTCCCTGATTTCTGTTATCCTTAATTTTTGGCTTTCTCCATCATTGTGTCTCTTTCTGTGTTCCTGACTTCGGCAAGTGTTTTGAATATTCTCAGGTACGTTAAGTCCGGCCATTCTAAGGCCATTCTAAGGTCCGGTTAGACGTTGTCCTTAGTCCTAGGTGTGATACTATTCTGCGTGCTGGATCAACAGTAATCCTGACAACTGCTCATGGTGGCACCAGGCGACTCCAGAAACTATAACCAGTTAAATGAGATGAATCAGATACAGTGCCTACATTGTCCCTTTAAATGCCCCCTGGGTGAATAAATGCTTTGTTTTTATACTGCTTGGAAGTTCCTATTTTCCACTGCAGTAGGGCTTTACGGCCACTGACGGGTCCATAAATATTCAAGACTGTTTACATATCCATGGATGTTTACAAAGTAAACCAAGAAAGTGAAAAAATACTCTGATATATTGGGTATCATTAAACACATGGAAATGTATTCTATAGTAAAATTAAGTTTGAGAATGGTTAAGTCAAATTGGGAATGTAAAGTTGTCTAATTTTATTTTGTTCTTTCAATTCTACTCCTGTACTCCTATGTCTTTGTAGCAGGGGAATGGAAAGGCTGGCAAAGTTAAAAAATATCAGCAAAATGTCCTCTTTGTCTGTAGTGGAAGACTACTGTACGTTTCCACTTAGATCATTACCTAGTGCGCTACCCATAAAGATAGACTCAAAGTAGTTTGAATTCTTTAGATATTGATAACACAATCACATCTTTAGCTTGTTTGTCACATGACTCATATCAGGCTCAGTTTCAGGATTTGGGTGTAAGCAGGTGTTTAATGGTGCGTTAAATGGAAACGCCTTTTTTTATAGAAGAATATAAAATTTTTCACAAAAAAAGTATTCTCATAAAAACATAATTTACAGTTTGGGGAAATGAAACTGGTTCTTCTAGAGATGTTGGTCCTCAGGAGCAGGAACTAGCTTGTGTATAAAAGCTGAAGAGTCAAAGACATTTTAACATTGTCTGGAGTCTATCCATTGATTTATTGGTGAAGTCAGTTTTGACATCTGCTAACAATACAACATGTCTGGAGTCAAGGGTGGACATGGTGGCCAACACCACCAACAACAACACTGCAAGGACCCCTGCAAGGACCCATGCCAGAACCCCTGCAAGGACCCATGCCAGAACCCCTGCAAGGACCCATGCCAGGACCCCTGCAAGGACCCATGCCTGAACCCCTGCAAGGACCCATGCCAGAACCCCTGCAAGGACCCATGCCAAAAGCTGGACCCATGCAAAGACCCATGCCAAAAGCTGGACCCATGCAAAGATTGTGAGTAGCAATTTATCTACTTGAACACCTCTGTTACACACACATTTGCCTAGTATAAAGAATAATGAATAATAATATAATAAATGTACACCAACATCAAAGTAACCCCTAGATATATCTAGAAACATTTTCATAGTCATTTACTAAATTTGGGTGAAAACCCAAATGATCCCAAAATTTTGAATATAGAAAATCTATGATATGGTTAATCTTAGCAATACTTGTTTATAAGTTTCATTATTCACAGTTTTATGCCAGTTGTGATCACAGTTACTCAGCATTGAAACTAACTAAGATGACTCCGTAATTCACTTAGGAGGCTCCACACAGCCAGAAAATAAGAACCATTTCAAGAGATTGTGTAGTATTTGTTAAAGGAATGGGATTTATTTACGTAGATCAAATGTCACGATAATTGTGTACTAACAGACTTAGTCACTAAGTTATAAATTTATCTGACATTTTAGGGTCAAGTAGGAGAATTCTCCATGTTAGCTAAGTTTTCAGACAGTTATTTTCTATGCACTTTGAATTCTTGACAATTTTCCCTTTAGTGAATAACCCTGGGTTGCTTTATAAATTAATCACAAGATTTCAAAAAAGCAGAGTTTCCTTGTGGTTTGATCAACTTAATACCCAGCTTTGATCGATACACTGGACATTTATTCCATGTCAATTCAGTAACATTTGTTTATAAAAACCATAAGTCGCCAACTCAAAAGAACATATTTTGGTTCACTGGAAAGTTCTTAAAACCTAAAAATAAAAATGTTAATATTAGTTCCCCTAAATGCTCAGGCTATAAGTGACATATTAACGATGTGCTATTATTTTAGCATGCACACTGGTGCAGTGCTACGATCAGAAACCACAATGCCATAAGCGCGGTAAGTTTCATCTTTCGTGAGTTACCAGACTCAACAAGCTGTTTTCCTGGAAACATATCGTTTCATTAACCACAAATGACAAATTGATAGGCAACACCTGAAAAATGCTGCCCTGCAGTATAAAGCAATCTAATGCTGCAGGCATGAAATCTAGTCATTAGAGAAAAAGAATTCCTGTATTGTATGAATTCCGTACATCCTTTACATTTTGCAGCAGTACTTATCTGAACATTTTCTATATCACTGCCTATGATAACTTCTACACAGATTCCAGAGCTTATTGCAATTATTACATTATACAGCAGAAAGAATTGAGTATTTTAGCCATGACAATTATATTTCCATTTTATTTTTCTCACTTTCTAAGTCTTTATTTCCCGGTTCTCCCTTTCCACTCCTTGCCTTTGTTCTTCTACTCCTTCAAAGGAAATATATTTCTTTTATAATCACATAACAGTAAAACAATATCACAGTGTTTGTTGGACATAGAATGCTTAAGAAGATACCATTATGATATCATTATGAGCCTAACTGTATGTACTGATTTAATTTCTTTACCGAGTTAAAGCGGATCTATCACTCCACTATTTCATAAAGATATATTCATTAAAATTCCAACGCAATCCACACATACCATAAGACAAAATATGGACTACTTTGTCTTGTGGTAAAACCTGAGGCTGACAAAAGGCAAAGCTCCATTTCCAACTTCTGTCCAATCCCTGCAGCCATCACAAATGATGGCTGTGGGATTTAGGCTCTGTCTATGAAGGATCTCGTGGTCTTACATAATCCTCCATAAACCTCAAGGTTGTACTCTTATGCATGAGCAAGTGTATAACACGGACATGACTCCTGGCAACTGAAGTGCCAGGATCTGAAGAGGAAAGCAGGATGAAGAGTGCAGCCGCCAGGGATAGTCTGTGATAAATAAAATAGAAACATAGAATGTGGAGGCAGATAAGAACCATTTGGCCCATGTAGTCTGCCCAATTTTCTAAATACTTTCATTAGTCCCTGACCTTATCTTATAGTTGGGATAAGATAAACTACCTCCCCTGTTTCTCACGGCCACCAGACTCACATTGATCTGGCAGCTTTGGGGAAATTGGCAACCAATGCAAAGATCCCTGAAAATGACAGGTCCAGTTTAACTGTGGATCACGACTCCAATGTATAGCACTTAGTGATATTAATAAGTATGATAACTGACTGCTCAGTCCATTCAAAGGATCTGTCATTCACAATCTAGTTTATTTGAGATTAGTTTATGTATCAGTTCAACTAACTAAGGCAGCCATTGGTTGACATAAGCTGTAATTTTACAGCAAAATCTTGTGATCCCTTAACTGGTATAGGGATGTAGAAGTTTAGTCACTCACGTTCCTGGAACCATGTAGCTATGAGGGGTTTTCATAGACAGGAACACAAACTCATTAGCTGTTCCAAGTTGAGCTCCTCGGTTACCATATTTGTGGGATAGTTGTTGTTTCTAAATTTGTTTAACTAAGGTTTGAAAGTGCTGTCCAACAGTCTGTAGAATCCATGTGCTCCCAGTGTGAAATCAATTACAGGAGTTCTGCCTAAAAAAATTAGAATTTATGTTTCCTGCAAAAAACGTGCAAATTGACAACCCCATTACCTTCATGCTCTAATGGAACCTGTCCATAATCGTTCTAGTGCTTCTGGAGATTAATTTTCAAATGGGCTTCAACCCACCATGACATATAGTAGTGAATGTAATAAATAGATTAACAATTTAATATGGAAGTAAAAAACATTCTCACTGTAACCTGCTCTTGTTGTGTATACACAGATCCCTGCGACCCATGCCCACCCGACCCTTGCAAGACCCAGTCTGGATACAGAAAGTGACGCTTCGTATCGAATGGAAGCATCTCATCAGAAGAACAATACTTTCCTGTAACGGCTTTGCATTTTAAGAAATATTCACTATTTGTCAATGTGTCCAAAACCTACCCAATCCCTGGCAATGCATGTAATCATATCTCATTCTTCTGAAATTCTTCATTAAACTTGCTGAATACCATCCACTAAGTCCTCATTCTTTTTACATACCGTACGAACGTGGACGAGAGATCAGCAATAAGTAGCAATAATCTCTGGTTTGTAGAAACAGTGGTTCAAAGTGGTAATTTCAGTTGCATACACTAGGTATACATATAACAAACATAGAATATGACATATAATACATAAATACATTAATTAGGTAGAATTGGAAAAAAAAATCAAGTAAGAAAAATTAAAGCAGTAATATATTAATCAATAGCCAATAATGCAAAATGAAAAACGAAAAGTGAAATTTGAAATTGAAAATGGAAAGATAAAAATGTGATTCAGACACAGTTAAGTTGCCACACAAAAAAAGGGGTATATTATTGTTCTCCCAAACAAACGTTGATGTATTTTGAATGATAATACATGACATTTGCACAGACGTTATTCGGTATGTGCTACCACCTTACACTTAAATAAGACACGGACACCGATAATTCTGTTGGAGTACAAAGTCCACAGCTTTATTAATTAATTATAATAAATTAACATAATTTAGGGTCATTGTCCTACTAGACATTATGTTACTATACCCCCACACAGTACCCCTGACAATGACCCTACCAGTTGAACAATAAATAACAACCAAATAACATATAACTTGAAACACACGGCCTACCAAAGAGGCCCCATATCATCCCTACACCCCAGGTTCATAGCCACCGAAGAGCTAGAACCAACCAATCCTTAATTCCATCCGGCCTACACCTTGGCCTGTCCAGTTCAAATTCCACGCAAAATTCCAAATTTAACAACGCCCTGTTCCGCCGCTGTGACCAAACGGAACTGCTAAAACCTAGGGAGGGTGGGTGGGACAATCTACAGGTAAGAGAGGCTCTGGTTAAAATGGCCCCTACTCTAAAATGGGTGCTGCTTATACTCCCACTCTCCACCCCCAAACTCCACTCCCCTAACCCGGCCCACAAACCCTAGCACCTGCCCACTCCCTGGCTCTGTCAAGGCCCACTCCCCCACTGCGTTGCTCCATGGGCTTCATCACTACTATCAGCATTTAGAGGCTTGGTTTTCACTTCCCAGCCAATTCTTCACCAAACTCTCTTACATCCTATAGTGGGAATCTATCTTAGATGATACACTAGTAACAGATCGATGGGCAGACGGACAACATGCACACACTCCAACGTCTACATTGTCCTCCAAGAATAGACAGTTATAAGCTAGCAGTATTACGAAACAACTATACTTAAACAAAGATAGGCCCCTGATCTAGATTTATAACAGAGATTATTAACGCTATCCTCGGGAATGAATTATCCCCATTGTTCACTTGTTCACGCTTGTGAATGTTAAACCAAAATGACTAACCAAGAAACATGTTTTCTATCTCTGTGCAGCAATGAGGAATGGAAGGATTATTGCATTTCTGGCATAATATTCCAGAGAGGATTGTGATGTACTTGAACAATAGGCTCCCCTGCATATTTGCATACCTCATAAACGACTCTATTTAGGAGGGACAGTCCCTATTTTGGGCCCAAACCCCGCTGTCCCTCTTTTCTATCCCAATATCCCTTGTTTCTAGGAGCTCCATATTGTTGGCGTGTCTGAGTGTATAACAGAGCTCCACAGCAATAATACTCCCAGTAACGTGTCTGTGTGTATGACAGAGCTCCACAGCAATAATACTCTCAGTAATGTGTCTGAGTGTGTAACAGAGCTCCACAGCAATAATACTCCCAGTGATGTGTCTGAGTGTGTAACAGAGCTCCACGGTAATAATACTCCCAGTAATGTGTCTGAGTGTATAACAGAGCTCCACAGTAATAATACTCCCAGTAATGTGTCTGGGTGTATAACAGAGCTCTACAGCAATAATACTCCCAGTAATGTATCTGAGTGTGTAACAGAGCTCCACAGCAATAATACTCCCAGTAATGTGTCTGAGTGTATAACAGAGCTCCACAGTAATAATACTCCCAGTAATGTGTCTGAGTGTGTAACAGAGCTCCACTGCAATAATACTCCCAGTAATGTGTCTGAGTGTATAACAGAGCTCCACATCAATAATACTCCCAGTAATGTGTCTGGGTATGACTGAGCTCCACAGCAATAATACTCCCAGTAATGTGTCTGAGTGTATAACAGAGCTCCACAGCAATAATACTCCCAGTAATGTGTCTGAGTGTATGACAGAGCTCCCCAGCAATACTACTCCCAGTAATGTGTCTGAGTGTGTAACAGAGCTCCACAGCAATAATACTCCCAGTAATGTGTCTGGGTGTATAACAGAGCTCCACAGCAATAATACTCCCAGTAATGTGTCTGAGTGTATAACAGGGCTCCACAGCAATAATACTCCCAGTTATGTGTCTGAGTGTGTAACAGAGCTCCACAGTAATAATACTCCCAGTAATGTGTCTGAGTGTATAACAGAGCTCCACAGTAATAATACTCCCAGTAATGTGTCTGGGTGTATAACAGAGCTCTACAGCAATAATACTCCCAGTAATGTATCTGAGTGTTTAACAGAGCTCCACAGCAATACTACTCCCAGTAATGTGTCTGAGTGTGTAACAGAGCTCCACAGTAATAATACTCCCAGTAATGTGTCTGAGTGTATAACAGAGCTCCACAGTAATAATACTCCCAGTAATGTGTCTGGGTGTATAACAGAGCTCTACAGCAATAATACTCCCAGTAATGTATCTGAGTGTGTAACAGAGCTCCACAGCAATACTACTCCCAGTAATGTGTCTGAGTGTATAACAGAGCTCCACAGCAATACTACTCCCAGTAATGTGTCTGAGTGTATAACAGAGCTCCACAGCAATACTACTCCCAGTAATGTGTCTGAGTGTATAACAGAGCTCCACAGCAATAATACTCCCAGTAATGTGTCTGAGTTTATAACAGAGCTCCACAGCAATACTACTCCCAGTCATGTGTCTTTAAAGTACACTAAATGTGTTTTAAAAAATCAGTCTGTGTAAATATGATACAGTGATCTTGTTATAAATTATATTGTAGTTGCATAAATTATTATTAGTATGCACTTGAAATGACTCAAAACAGCCCTATCCGTGTCCACACCCCTAAAACAAAAGTGCCCCTCTTTGTCAATGTGAAATGTTGGGTGGTATGTATTTGGGATGCACACACCACTATTTTCCTTTCCCCACCCCAACACCCAACTTCTGTTCATTTTTGGGGCATGTGGTTGGATGTGCTTCTGATAATATTTTTACATATATCTGGTTTGGATCCTGCTTCCTGATACAGGTAAATAGCTCTGAATGTTTTTGTTCCGTCACACACAATGTCGAAAACTTTTTTGTCTCTCCATTATTTTTGTGCGTTTCTCCATTCTTGAAAAAAGTCCAAATGAAATGTTAATTTGAAAACAAATAAGTGTGGTTTTTAAATATTAAAAAAAAAATAGCTTTAATAAGTATCCATGCCCTGCACTGATCATATATATATACATGGTCATTTATTGTCCACATTGAATAGTTTTGAAGTGGACAATAAGAAACATTTTAAGGAGACACATTCCAATGATTTTCAGTGTTTTTACCTAGAGTCACAGCCATTCATTGCAACAACAATTTTTAAACAAATCTTCAATAGGTTATTTAACAAGACAAATCCTAATAAAACCCTTTAATCTTAATCCCTTAATCATTCAAACACGGGCTGCTTTTAACTGTTACCAGAAGATATAATTAAATTATGGCACAGGGAAAGTACTGTAAAGGGATAGGTAAGTGACTAGGGATTATCCAGCTAAAATGTTTTTATACCTATAACATTTGCAGAATTCTATAATAACAAGAATAGTGACTGATATATAAAGTGTATTTCCTGATAACCAGTTCTCCTGAAAATATGTACATACTGGCTCGTATCTACTGCTTATAAAGCATTATTCAATATAGTAAAGCGCCCTCTTACATTAACAATCAGATATACAGATCGTGGAAGAGAGTCAGTCTAGGCTAATTTATTTTCTCAATATTATAGCACTTTATTTTCGTAATATTGTTATTTTCTATTGAAATGAAGCTAAATAAGGTACAAAAAATGTCAAACACATGTAGACACAAATACATTACAAATAGCAAAACACACATATACAGACACACAGAGACAAACATCAAAACACACATATACAGACACACAGAGACAAACATCAAAACACACATATACAGACACACAGAGACAAACATCAAAACTCACATATACAGACACACAGAGACAAACATCAAAACTCACATATACAGACACACAGAGACAAACATCAAAACACACATATACAGACACACAGAGACAAACATCAAAACTCACATATGCAGACAGACACAAACAGACAAAAACACTCAGGAAATTAGATATACTCACATGAGCACATTCATTCTCTCTCCCACCACACCAGCTCACCTGTCAGTAATGAGGAGGAATACAACAATTTGATAAAATCGTATCTCTCACAAACTCACAAATTTACAAAAAGTGTTTCTGGCGTCCACATGCAATAACACTGTTTCTCCCAAAAAGTGATTATAGTGGAAAATATAAATATTAACAACTTCCCTCAATAGCATAGGATATGCCCGAAGATCTCCTCCTATCTTCAATTCAACACCTATGTATAGTATAGGGCTATTCCAGCTAGGGAGGCAAAAATATAACATAGTGCAACACTGTGGATATAAAATGAAGTGCCAAGTGATCACTCACACTTTGACATCAAATAAAGTGCCTTCAGAGATATATTGGTGTGTGTCTTCTTGCTTCAATGCCTAAGTAGATGTTAATCTCATCCAAAAGATAGAAAAATGCAAAAAAAATAATGAAGTAACTGAGTAAATAAAGTACAAAAAGCAGCATTTATTACTTACATCAAAGTAAATAATAGCAGATGATGAAAAATATGTTCAATAATAGTCCAACGCGTTTCGTCCCTGTCAGGGACTTCCTCAGGTACAATCTTTTACAAAATGCTGGATACAAATG